CACCATTTGAAAGGACAGGAGCATGTCCATCATCTCCAGCATGTTTTCCAGCTCATCAGATCAACTGGTCTCACCATTAACCCTCAGAAATGTAAATTGCAGGTAGAGCTTCTGGGCTCTGTGGCTGGACATGTCAGACCTCAGGTGGGGAAAGTGGAAACTATCCATGCATACACAGCGTGGCAGAAAAGTTGAGACTTTTTTTCAAAGTTGAACAAAATTTAAAAAGTTTCATATATAATATTCAAACATCAGCTAATCAGATTTTTTCTATTGTTGTGTAGTTATGTCTGAACATAACTACACAAGTTATTATAAAGCTGAAAAGTAAGACAACTTTATGTGACTGGAAATGTGTCATTTTACAGCCACTGGGTTATAGCGATGTGTTGAAGCATGACGTTTAATGCTACAATATGCAGAATGTCACCATCTAGTGGCCGGACACGAAAACACGATATTTGAACTTAGAATATTATTTCACATCTGTAAGATATGAAAAAGATTTACTCAGTTCTGATTTCAAAAACTTGTTAAAAATAATGAATCTGCTATAAAATATAAATATCTTAAAGGCTGTATAAGGAGCTTCAATATTTATGATCTTCTTCCATTATAAATATAAATTATTTTTTTTTAACATCAGTATATTTTTATTTAATTTCCTTACTGATCATTAGTGTTACTTTCCCTCAGACCCATATGTGTGTAAAATCTAAGAGTCCATTTACTGATTGAAAAAGGATTGAATGAAACAAACACAGCTGGCAGATTTAAGAGCGTAATAAATATTGTTTTGTTGCACATTATGGTGTTTTATGCTGTCAGCGAAATGAGGCCCTGCACACTGACAACTGCTCTGTGTGTAAAATAACATAATACTCATTATCAGAGAATATTGTTAAATAAATTTAATTCTGAATTAAAAGTTGTTCTTTCAGATCAAGAGACAAGAAGATGAAAAAACAAACCTTTACAATGTCGTCAAACAAATTTCTTACCGTCACAAACTCCTACAAAACCCTCAACATTCATAACTGACAAATATTTCCATTCCAAGAAAGTTAAATTTTTCAACTCATCATTCTGTGTCCGAAAAAAATAGTTCACCTTGTTCACACTGTGGATGATTAAAAATAAAAGTATATTAACATTAATCTTCACATAACACAACATGGAACGGTTTGCAGAATTAAAAACCTGCAACTTCAAGCCATCCACCTCCTGGGAGGATTTGGAGGCTTTATGGTTACTTTTTTATGTAAAGAAATCTCTAGTCCTTTCTAACCCTTTAAAGACGAGGTCTAAATGGCCATCCCGGCGCGCAGTCTCTCTTCTCTGTGCGTCAGCGCTCGCTATGAAGCCAGCTAGCAAAACTACTACTAACCCTGCACACACCACGAACTCTAACTAACACACTTATCGTCTAAAAAACCCATCGAAACACTCTTAGTAAAATCCACAGCATCACTGTGCCCTAGTCTCTTGCCGTATCCAACCCCCCCCCCTCGTCTCTTCCCACGTATCTCCGTTCTACCTAGCAACAGACTGTCAACACATTTTTATTGGTTGTTTCGAAATGTGGTACATTTAGACCCCACAAAATAAGGCAGAAATGATCGATCTTATTTCTGGCTTTATTTTGAAGTAAATAACCACAAAACCAATATAAAAACACCACTTTTATAAAGTTTGAAGTCCGTGCTGTCCAACAGAGTCGAAATGAAAACTCGGTATGCGTCCATGTTATTACGAAGCCTTATTAATGAGTCACATGCTTGTACGCCGCACGGCGGGCAGCGACTACATAGGTTAATATTTATGTTATATATAATAAACATTTCAATTAAATCCCTGCTAAATTAAATATCTGCTTTGTTACTATTGGAAAAACTGTATGTGGTTCAGAATCAATTACTTAGCAGAAAAGCTACTTTGGTTTAATTCACAGCTGAAGAAATAAAGTTCTAAAGTTTTTCACATTAAACACTTTGACACTTTCTAAATGTTGTACCTGGTTAAATTCAACATGTGAGAAAAACAAAGATAATTTAGAAAATGTCTCAGATACTGAGACTGGGACAACTCTGAGAATCAAGCAGCAAGTTGTCATTTATTTTTGAGTTAGAGTTTGTAATTGAATATAAAAGATAATGAAGAATTCAAAATATATAATCTGAAAGCAATCTATTTCACAAAAAATCCATAGGAATACTTTAAGAAGGTCATATGTGAAGATATTTGTGCATCAATGAAAAGCTGACATGTTGATATCATCAGTGCTGCTGATCTCCTGATTCTTAGATGTTACACAGCAACACAATGAGGCCCCAAGCTGGTTAAATTCAGTTTTCCTCAGAAAAATATACAAAGCTGAGTCTGCAAGAGGACTGAGAAAAAGACCAATTTCTCCCACAGTAAAGAAGGCAACATTTTCCCAGGGTGTTACCAACAGAAAATACATAATAAAGGGCAGGAAAAGCAGAACATATATGAGCAAAACCACAACAAGAATTGAAACAATTCAACGTTTTTCCTCAGCAGAGACACTGCGAGCTTCAGACAGAGCTTTAATGGTCCCAACCAGGCAGAAGATGAACAAGAGAAGAGGGAGGAGGAGACAAGCAGCCTGGATGATTTTTCTCATCTGATATTTCAAAGAGAGATAAATGCTAAGAGTGAAACTAAGAGAAAAGATCCAGACTGCGACACAGACCAACACAGATGTCTGGATGTTTCGTCTAAATCTGTACCACAGCGGCTTGGCAACAACCAGATACCTGAAATAAAAGGTACCTGCTGTCAGACATTACTGATGTAATAATGTCAAAAAGAAACAATAATATGTAGGTGGATATTTACCTTTCCAGGGAGACACACATCATGAAACCAATACTGGCTGCCAAGCCAAAACTGAGAGCAAAACTAGCGAAAACACTGTTATTTTGTGTTTTCATTGTAATTCTGCTGCAGTACTGGATGACATCAGAAAGTAGAAGGTTGAAGATGTAAACTGGAGCACCATGATCATTTTTCATCTACAGGGAGAACAAGATGAAAGAAAGGTAAATAAAGACAAAGCATTTCTTCCCAACTTTAACTATTAGATGATTTTTCATCGACAAGTATAAAAAAAGGTTTTGATTTCTTTTTTAACAACTAGGCTTATACCGAAGGCAAGAGAAAACCAATAATTATAATCATTCAAGTATTTATACCATGTCAAAAATACAGCTAAAGCTAAGTTAACAAGTACTCACCATTATTAAAACAGCCCATAAGGCCGCCAGAGTCAAAGGAAATCCAATGGCAACAGTGATCCAATTTACCACCAATGAAAATTCATTCATGTAACGGTTATCGGTTCTGTTAGCTGCATCACTATGGTTGAAGATGTTCTGATTTAGGTTTTCGTCCCCTGAGGTTCTGCTGATGTGGGAATCTTCCATTTTTCAATGTCCAACTTGAATGAACAAAATAATTAATCATGGAAACTTCATTTTTTTTCTTAGCTTTGCTCATAAAATTATGAATAAATTCCTTCTTAAGGGAAAATCCTAGAAAAGGTTGTTTTTTAGGTAATATAAAATGTTGATGTGTTATTATTACGAAAAATAAAACATGTCAAAAATGTAAAACACTATGGACTGTAATTAAATAATAATAATCTGTGTTTAAAGTATGTGCTCAGTTTCTGCCGTAGAATATCGGCATGGAGCATAAATGTTATTTCTAATTTGTTTTAGTTGTTTCATCAAATTAAACACATAAAATATACTTTCCAGCAACATCATAAATCAAATGTGCTTTTTTCAGTTCTGTACATTCAAACACAAAATATATTTACCTTTCAAAGTTTAAAGGTCCTAAAATGGTTCCTGTTTTTAGTCAGTTATCCTTGTCATCTCAACAGTCTGCAGCCTGAGCGTTCTCTATAAATACGCACCATCTGGTGTCTGAACAATGACATCTGATTTAAAAGAAATGGCCGCAGAGATGATGTGATAGGTCCTTTTTCTTTACCAGCAGGAAGGAAGTGTCTTCTAAAATGGTCTGAGAACGTTTCAGTTTTATAAACTCTAATTCTCATCAACTTACTTGTTTCAATTCAGTTAATAATTCAATTCAGCGCTAATTAACGAGAAATTAGCGCTGAAAGGTTTACACACACGCTCCAGCTCCGGGTCGGGTTGGGATCAGGAACCGGTCTGACACCTAAAAAAAAAGGCTTTGACTCTGGGTCCCTGTCTAAACCAGATCTTCCTAAAATGAAATGAGCATTCTGGTCCAAATGCCGTATTTGTGGGGACGTTTTCTTTCCACCGGAAAAGGGAAAAAAAAAAAAACATCCGATGTCGGGCCATGTCGGTTAATGGGTCCGGACCAAATGCTCACCCACACTTTGCCCAGAGCAGATCATTTTTGCTCAGGTCCAAAAATAATAGCACGAATAGCTTTTTATTTATCTGTTTTTTGATCCAAAAGCAGCCAGCCCATCAGAAGCCATAAGTGTCGATGGCCACTGATGGTTTTCAGGTCGCTGTTGAAATTCATTTTTGTCTGCTAAATAACAAGCACATTAAAGTTTAATCATGGTGTTTTTCATTTTGTTTTTAATGGAAAAATATTGTCAGCAGTCTGGCTGGTTATCGGTCCCATGCAGAAATCTCTTTCCCGCACAATCTGTGGAACAGCAAACATAATCTGCGCTGCCTTTTGGCCTCAGACCCAGAGCATAGCGGTGCTGCGCCGTAACGTCATGATCTGCTGGAATTATTAGTTTGTCCTGCTGCTCTAAGTTGGCATTGCTGGAGGATATTTGACATCTATTTTATTATTATACATTTTCCATCCATTTTCGACATTATCGTGCGTATTTTGCTCTTGCAATATAGGTGAGCACGTGTGCGGTTCTGGCAGGTCGCCGGCTTATGAGCTTTTTTGTGGTTTGGCTAACTGAAGAGCTGACGAGTCACCAGGTTGGACAACTGTTTAACCCGCTAATGACGCGCGTCAAAAATCTTTGGACGCTTCAAGTTCGACGCGTGTACAAAACTTTGCGTCTGGTTTAAGTCCATGTCTATGTGGAGCGTCGGACGCGCTCGATGCTTCAAAGGCTCAAAACGCTCCAAACGGTTCAAATCGCGCCTCGCTAGATGCTCGAAACGAGCCACAACGGTTCTGGACGCGCCTCCAAATAGACTTTGGATGTAAACCAGACGCGCATGAATCTCAAAACGATTCTGATGTGAACGCACCATAAGACAGCGGGTTAAACAGTTAAATCTAGTTGAAACGCTTGCCAAAAGACTAGAAATTAACCAAACATTGTTGCTTCACCTCCTCTGGATGTCCTCCAATCACACGGGTAGGCTTTGCTTTCATGTTATTTAGCATAATTTAAAAATAATAATAGGTCCGCTGTTTTAGTGGGCCATGCACATTACGCACGTGTGGCCTGTATTTGTGTGGTTTAGGTTTGTGCTAGTTTTTCGCAAGACGCACATGATGCGCTTTGGATATGTGGTTGTGCTCTTGTGGGTCAGGTGCAGCGATAGTGTTGTGCTGCCCACCGATAACATCCTGCAGCCCCTGAGTGAGGAGTTACTTAAGTGTGTATCTGAGCTATGTTTTTATCACGAATATTTGCGCCACATGCCTGAAAAGTTACTGCTCAACAAAGAAACTGGACGTATTTGTACAACCTGCACATATTTATTGTTTTGGACCGAGCTTGACACATTGATCTTTAGTCACTAAGCATATGATGTAAAGATGACAAAATACAATATGCTGTTTTAATACCATCAATCTCTGTATTCAGCTGTTCATGAGGTCGGCTGCAGGCATTTGTCCAACTTTAACCTTTTTCCAGACTCCAGTTTTCAAATGGAATAAACTCTATTCCGTCCTCTAATGCTGTGTAAAGCTGCCCTGCGCATTTTCCGAACTGACGACTTTTAACCATTTTTTCTGATTATTTTCCAACAAATCTTTATGACCGCACATTTAATAGCCAGCAATCAGTAGCCAGATTGCAGCGTATGGTAGACCCGACAACTTTGTCCTTCAGGTGAGGGCAGATCACTTCAGGACAAATTGCGACAAACCCAGAGTTGATTGACAGGTGCCATCGTGTGCCTAGTATTCAAAATGACGAAACACCTCATGCTCACCTCACCTCATTGTTCAATCTTTCCATGGGAAAATAAAACTACTCATCTTATCATAAAAAGTCATTATGATGCTGAAAAATAGGACTTGATGTGTCATTTTACATCCACTGAGTTAACACGTGATGTGATGAAACATGAGGTATTATAACTGACATATAACAGCATTACAGTGTGGAAGGTTCATATTTAAAGTTCACAGCTGTAAGGAATGAAAAGGAATGTCTCACTTCCGACTTAAAGTAACTGCTGAAATAAAGAATCTGATACAGGATAATAATTACATTTTTAAAAGCATCCACTACTAGTTGAACATGTTGGCCTAAATATGTTGCAGACAGAGGAAGTGAAGGTAGAAATGTTTCACAAAATGACACCTCCAAGTTTTTCATAATCTGACAGCAGAGTCTGTCAGATATCATCAATCTGTCTGCTGTCTCAGCTTACTGTCTGTACAGCTTTACTGCACTGGATCCAGCTTATTTTTACAGCAGTGACACGTCTTCTGATTATATATGTTTCATGTTAAGTTTATAGTTATGACTAAATGTGATGGAGACCAGGGGTTCATCACTATTAAAGGACAAACCAAATGTTTGTAGTTTCAGTTGTTTATTTCAGTTGCACTGTGACATTTAGTTGATCGTTATTTCAGGAAGGGGGACTGGCCATCCTTCCTGTACAGGGAGAAGGTTGATTTGTTCTGAGATTTTCTGTTGGTTTAATTTGAGTTCAACAATTGTTGAGCATTTACCTTTCCTGGTGTCTCCTCAGCAGAGGGGAGCAGCAAAAAGAGACAAACGCTCCAGGTGCTGCTGAAAAGCTGCTGGAGCATTAGGAGGGTAATGCTCTGATTAAGTTAAGTTACATTAAGTTACATTTAGTCTTTGATTGACCTGAGATTAGTTCAGTTGTAATGATTTACATGAGGGTGTATATCTATTCATACAATTTATCGTTTTTTGTCAGGTTTGTGTAAATGTTTATTTCCTTTTTTATAAGTGGGTCAAAGTGACAAGTGGTGTCAGAAGTTTGGCTGCATCTATGAGTGGAGCTGAAGCTGCTGGTGATGCTAGCTCTGCTGAGAAACTGGATCAGCTGGCAGGCCTAGTCAAATCACCGATGCAAATTGAGAAGGAATCAGCACGGCAAGAACTGAGAAGAAGGAACTTACATAATCAGCTTCGATGGTGACAACATGTAGAGGATCCTCACACTCATGATGATGAGGAGGACAATCATGATGAAGCACAAAGCCAGATGACCTACCAGCCACCAGCCCCACAGAGAGAGACACAGCTGCTTCCACTGACCTCTGATGAGGATGTTGATCACTTCTTAACAACTTTTGAAAGGATGGCTCAGGTCTGCTATTGGCCTAAAGACCAGTGGACGGTCCAACTGGTTCCACTACCTACTGGGAAAGCAGCACATAGTGCTTATATGCTGATGGACATGGCAGATTGTCACATTGATGACAAGCTTCAAAATGCCACTATTACCACATAGGAGATAACTGCTGACACCTATTGGAGGAGGTTTCGATTGATGGATGTTTATCAAGGTAAGACACCAAAAAAACTTCATGTTCAACCCAAAAACATGTTTTATAAGTGGCTCAAACCAGAGAAGGTTACAGTGAAGGACATTTCAGAACTGATGATCATAGAGCAATTTATAAGAACAACCTGATGGGAAACTGAGTGAGGTCGGTGGGGCGGGGCCACCAGTGATTCCCACCCCACTGCAAAGCTCCATCCTCAAGAGGGCACAGCATCCTCCACCAGGCCCATCAAACAAAACAAGAAGGAACATGCTGCACAGCTGATTGGTGGTAGATGTGCTGTGACATGCCAAATAAATGGGGTCAAGTTGCAGATGCTATTGGACAGTGGGGCACAAGTGAGCATAGTGGAGAAGTCATGGGTGCAGAAAGCTCTACCAAATGTAATCACACCCTCTCAAAGTCACAGCAGCTAAAGGAGCAGAGGCGCCATTTGATGGGTGGATGAAGTCCTGCTAGAGATCAAAAGCATCAAATATGGTTCAGTTGCCCTCTATGTTCTGTTTGTGAGTCAAGAGAGTGTCAGCAGCTCTTTGCTAGGCTTTAACGTGACACAAGAAATCATAATGGAAAACACTGACCAGACAAACAACATCAACCTGGTGGACTTACTGCCAGAGGCTTTGAGAGTCCAAAAGAGCAGTGTTGAAACTCTAGTCTCTGTGGTTTGCACTATGCCATCTCAGAAGGAATCAGAGTTCAACAGTGAGAGTTGGAAAGAAGGGTCTTAATGTTCAAAGTGGCCACATCTGTAAGTGAAATGTCGCATCAGAACTTTTCCAGGAAGAGGATTAATGTTGTTTGAACCAGACATACAGAGCATCATGTCAGACGGGTTGGAGTTATTTCCTGCTCTGGTTGATGGAGTTTCAAAAATGGTGATAATTCCAGTCCAGAATTCAACCAATCACAATATTTTCTGGCTTAAATGTTAAAATAAATTTTATTTGTTTTGATTAAAAATGGTAAAATATATTAAAATATTTAAAAGCATTACATATTTATTTTTATTTTGTTAGTTAAATACAAAAGGTCTCAGAAAAGGGGACAAGATATTGGATTTAAAGCTCTAACTATAAAATTAATATGGTTTTGAGTTAGTTTAGGTGTTGTTAAAGGAAAATAAATACCTATAGAGATTGTTTTGTAAGGAATATTGAGTACAAAATATTTTTGTGCTTTTGATGAAATACAAATAGATTTACTCAGTTGCCTGATTCTCTGTTATATATTGTTTTTCTGTAATTCTCCAAGAAAAATTATCAATATTTGAAGTAAGTGGGGAGTTTCTACCTGGAACTGTTGGCAAGAAAAAAACTTGTGTTGAGGAAATCTTATGCAAAAATGATGTGTCCTATGTGAAAAGTATTCATCCCCCCTGACTCAATACTTTGTGGAGCCAAATGTTGCTGCTGTTCCAGCTGCTAGTCTGTAGGGTTTGTCTCTACTAGCTTTGCACATCAGTGACTGAAAGTTTTGCCAATTCTTCTTTGTAAAACAGCTCAAGCTCAGTCAGATTAGATGGAGAGCGTTTGTGAACAGTAGTTTTCTGATATTGCCACAGAGTCTCGATTGGGTTTAAGTCTGGACTTTGACTGGGCCATGAATATGTTTTGCTTTAAACCATTCCATTGTAGACTTGGCTTTATGTTTAGGGTGGTTGTTCTGCTGAGAGGTGAAGCTCACCCCAGTCAAAATGTGGATCCAGAGTGAGAATATTCTTGGCAGATGAAAGCAGGACTTTCTTCGATCCGATCATCAGGTCCTCTGCAGAGAAAAGAGTCTCCAGACTCTTTTGGCAGATGAGGCCATTACAATTTTAAGCTGGCAAATCAAAACAAAAACATAATCTTACTATATCTCCCTAAAGTTGATTACTAAACGATTTTGCAGAAATATCAAAATAAA